CTTTAAACATTTCTTGTAGTGTTTCTCTGTCATTCTTTAGTTCTTTATATATTTTGAATATTAGCCTTCTATGGTATGTAATTTAGATATTTCCCAATTTCTAGGTATGAAATTTTTTTTATTGACAGCATCCTTTTTCTTACAGAAGGTTTCTAAAGGGACGGTAATTCCCCAGATGTTCTTTTTTTCTTTAATTGGATATTCTATTTATTTACATTTCAAATGTTATCCACATTCCCATTTTACCTTCCAGAAAACCTCTATCCCATCCTCCATCCCCCTGATTCTATGAGGGTGTTCCTCCACCCACCCACCCACTCTCATCTTCCCACCCTAGCATTCCCCTAGTCTGGGACATCAAGCCTTCAGAAGATAAAGGGCCTCTCCTCCCATTGATGCCCAACAAGGACATCCTCTGCTTCATATGCAGCTACAGCCATGGGTCCCTCCATATGTATTCTTTGGTTGGTGGTTTAGTCCCTGGGAGCTCGGGGAGGTCTGATTGGTTGATATTGTTGTTCTTCTTATGGGGTTACAAATCCCTTCAGCTCCTTCAGTCTTTTCTCTAACTTCTCCATTGGGAACCATGTGCTCAGTCTAATTGTGCTGGCTATACTTTGTTTTTATTTTTCCATATGAAGTTGAGAATTGCTTTTTCTATGTCTATGAAGAATTGTATTGGATATCTGTAGGAAATTCACTAAATATGTAGATCATAAGATGTCCATTTTTACTATATTAATTACTATATTAACTACGGATACTTGAAGTTCTTGTTATACAGATCTTTCACTTTCATGATTAGAGTTACACCAAGGTATTTTATATTATTTGTGGCTATTGAGAAGGGTATTGTTTCCCTAATTTCTTTTTCAGCTTGTTTAACATTTGTATAAAGGAAGGCTATTGATTTGTTTGTATTAATTTTATATTTAGCCACTTAACTGACATTGTTTTTCAGCTGTAAATGTTCTCTGGTAGAATTCTGGAGGTCATTTATGTATACTAAAATGTCATCCACAAATAGTAATATCTTGGCTTCTTTCTTTCCAATTTGTATCCTTCGGTTTCCTTTTGTTGTCTTCTTGCTCTAGCTAGACATTCGAGTACTGTGTTTAATACATAGGGAGAGAGTGGGCAGCCTTGTCTTGTCCCTGATTTTAGTAGGATTGCTTCAAGTTTCTCTCCATTTAATTTGACGTTGGCATGTGGCTTGCAGTATATTGCTTTTATTATGTTTAGGCATATGTCTTGAATTCCTGATTTTTCCAAGACTTTTAATATGAAGGGATGTTGTATTTTGTCTTTTTCAGCATCTACTGAGAAAATCATGTGTTTTTTTCCCTTTACTCTGTTTGTATAATGTTTATGTTGGTGGTCCCTGAATCCCTAGGATTAAGCCTACTTGATTATGGTGAATGATCATTTTGATATGTTGTGGATTCAGTTTGTAATAATATTATTGAGTATTTTTACATCTATTTTCAAAAATGAAATTGGCCTGATGTTCTATCTCTTTGTTGGGTCTTTGTGTAGATTTGTTGTCAGAGTAACTGTGACTTCACAGAATTAAATAGGTAATGTTTCTTCTGTCTCTATTTTGTGGAATAATTTGAGATGTTTTGGTATTAGTTCTTCTTTGAATATCTAAATTCTGCACTAAAATCATCTGTCCCTGAACTTTTTGGAGTTGGGAGATTTTTAATGACTAACTCTATTCCTTAGGGATTATGATATTGTTTAGACAGTTTATTTGATTTTGTTTTGACTTTGGCACAAAATATCTTTCTAGAAAATCACCCACCAGTTTTGTTTCCAGGCTTTTGTAGTAAGATCTGATGATTTTTTGAATTTCTTTGGTTTTTGTTGTTATGTCTTCTTTTTTTTTTTTTTTTACTGTTTTTGTTAATTTGGATACTGCCTCTGTCCCCTTTATTTAGTTTTGCTAAGGGCTTATCTATCTTCTTGATTTTTCTCTAAGAACTACCCATTGGTTTTTTTTTTTGATTCTTTGTATTGTTTTCTTTGTTTCTAATTCATTGATTATAGCCCTGAGTTTGACTATTTCCTGCCCTCTACTTTTCTTAGGTGTGTTTGCTTCCTTTTGTTCAAATCTTTCAGATGTGCTATCAAGTTGCTAATATAGGGTCTCTCCAATGTGTGCATGAAGTCACTTTTGAGGGTGAAATGTTTTATAGATATCTGTTGAATCTATTTGGTTCATAAATTATTCATAAATTGTTAGTTTCACTGTGTTTAGTTTCTGTTTCGATGAACTGTTATGAGCTTTAGTGAGAATGAGTTGTTGAAGTCTCCTACTATTCTTGTGTGAGTTTCTATATTTTTTCCTTCCAAATGTGGTTGCCCTAGCATTTGGGTGATAAATGTTTAGAATTGAGACTTTATCTTTGTGGATTTTGATGAGAAAGAAGTGTCTTTCCACATCTTTTTTGATTACTTTTGGTTGAAAGTCTATATTATTGGATATTGAATGGCTACTTCAACTTGTTTCTTGGGATCATTAGCTTGGAAAACATTTTTCCAGCCCTTTACTCATAGGTAGTATCTGTCTTTGTTACTGAGTTGTGTTTCTTACATTCAGAAAAATGCTGGATCTTATTTATGTATCCAGTCTGTTAGCCTGTGTCTTTTTATTGGGAAATTGAGTCCATTGATTTTGAGAGGTATTAAAGAACAATGATTGTTAGTTCCTGTTATTTTTGTTGTTCAAGGTGGGATTATGTCTGTTTGACTCTACTCAGTTTACTGTGAGATGTCTAATTTCTTGTGTTTTTTTGAGTGTATCTTTCCTCCTTGTGCTGTACTTTACATTCTCGAATCCCCTGTATGGCTGGGTTAGAAGAAAGATGATGCTTAAATTTGATTTTATTGTAAATTTGTTTTTGTTTGTTTGTTTACAGTTTTATTTATTTCTTTCACCTGTTCCCCATCCATTGGCTCCTTTAAAAGAAATTTCCTCATGTTATTTATTGATTTTTTTAAAAAAATATCTTTAGGTAGTTTATTTATTTCCTCTTTAAGGGCCTCTACCATATTCATAATATTGATTTTCATGGTTTGTGTGTGTGTGTGTGTGTGTGTGTGTGTGTGTCTGTATGTGTGTCTGTGTGTGTGTCTGTGTCTGTGTCTGTGTGTTTCTGTGTTTCAGCTGTGTTAAAATATGGCGGGCTTGACCTAATAGGATAGCTGGATTTTAGTGGTACTGTATTGTCCTGGCTGCTGTTGATTGTGTTCTTTCTCTGGTCTGTATGCATGTGGGTTTGTGGTAATTTAGGTTTAGTTTCTGAGTTTGTCTTTATTGGATTGACATATTTTCTCCTGGTTTTCATTTCTATTCAGGTCTTTTTGCCAGAGTGGCCTGTGGTTCTGTTTATCAAATAGCGCTTATTCCTTAGGGTGTTTATGCTGGTGTTTTTGGAAGACAGTATTACTTCTGGGATCTGGAGTAAAGGAATATCCTCTGCGATCTGAATTATTCAATGTTGCTTGGCCTATGTGGTTTAGGGTATTGTTGTAGTATCTGGTAAAGGAGGGGATTTCTGATATTCTGGGTATTGGTGTGGCCTCAGGGGTTCCAGGTACTAGAATAGCTTCTGGTAGAGCAGAGAGCTGCTAGGTTCCAGGTATCTGACTGGCCTTTGATAATGGAATCATGGGCTAGAATATAAACCATGGGAGAGAGTGCTGTTGGTGTGCTGTGAGGGGTCTAGGGAATCATTTGATATCTGTGAGTGGAATCTTTGGATTCTTGGCCTCAGTTAGAGCAGTGGGCTTCTGAAGAAGTTACTTCCATCAATGTTTAGAGTATCAATTCACCTTGGATATGTGGTTGTAAAATAGTGACTTGAAAGCGTTAGTGTTTTAAGATGTTTAAAACACAATGGAAAATTAACAACTTTATGAAAATTGGAAATCTTATTTTGTCATGCTTGGATATTAGCTCTTAGAAGCCTGTTCTTTTCTAATGAGAAAGAGGAAGGAAATATGTCTGGGTAGGAGGGATAGAGAGGAGCACATGGGAGGAATAAACAGAGAAAAAACTATAATCTGAACATAGTGTATGAAAAAATCTATTTTCAATAAAAGAAAAAAATGTGGAAAAAGGAAAAACAAAAGATTAAAGAAAAAAATCATTTTTCAATGTGGTTTAAGCAAGACTTCGTGGATTTTTTATTAAATGAAATTAAACAAATTAAAGAAATATAAACAAAACTTTGGGGTAGAATTCAGCAATAATATTCAAATGACTTAAAGAATGTTTTATCCATTTAAAGATTACATGTTTAAGACAAACTCTTCTTTATTTTTGAAAAAATATAGTTTATTAACAAATTCTTGTAGTGTTTGTATGTGTATGTACATGCAGGCACACAGATCCACAAATGCACAATCATCTTTATGAATGATTGTTGGCAGTTTGTATGTAGAAGTCAGAAAACTACTTGTGGATGTCAGTTTTTTTTTCTTATCACATGGGTCTCTGGGATGGAACTCAGGTTGTTAGGCATGGTAGCAAGTGTCTATACCTGTTGAGCCATCCTGTTGGCCCAGAAACTATTTCTTTGATTTTAAGCTAAATAGTTTGACATACTTATTGCTTAAATTGCAATTCAACCAATATATGTAGGCAGATATAATAGATACAAAATGATTGTTAAGGCGTACAGCCAAAACAACCATGAAATTTCAACATGAATAATGTCATTTACTGTATGTACAATGGTTTCATTTTTTAATCCCCAAGTTTTCTTTTCTTTTTTTTTTTAACTAGTTATGATTGAGACTGATGTAGAAATCTGGAATCACATAGGAATGAGTAAATAATTAAATAGTAAATCAGCTCTTCAGGGTAAAGAATGTTGTTGATCTTGCCATAATCATTACAGAAATTCTCATGTATAAAGTCTTTAGTTATAGATATTTTACTGGTGACTTAGCACCATTTTTTCCTTTTTTCCTTTTTATGTTTCTCTCTACAGAAAGCTGACCTTGCAGTTGCTCCACTGGCCATTACTTATGTTCGTGAGAAGGTCATCGACTTTTCAAAGCCGTTTATGACACTTGGAATAAGTATTTTGTACCGCAAGCCCAATGGTACAAACCCAGGCGTCTTCTCCTTCCTGAATCCTCTCTCCCCTGATATCTGGATGTATATTCTGCTGGCTTACTTGGGTGTCAGTTGTGTGCTCTTTGTCATAGCCAGGTAACATGCTCACTTTTGTGATTTTTTTGGCAATTGTTACCTCTTTTTTCTAACTAATAATTGTCAAAAGTCACAATCTCCTTTCTTGTTTTTCTTTCTTCTGGGGTGCCAGCTTCTAAGATTTATCAACTTCTAAGAATCACATAAGTATGCTGCCTTTTGGGGCAGAAAACATGCTGGTTGTGTCAGTAAGCTGCAAATGAGATAGAAAGTGTTTTTATCTTTTTAAAGAAAATCTAAAAGAGCCCAAATAGTTAAAACTTAGTTTTCTTCTGCTTTAATTAATATTATAATTTTCTCAAGATTCATAATTTTTTGACCACCATATTGACACTGAAGTCCATAATGTTTTTGAGATTATATATTTTGTGGTAAAGAAAATTAGGATTTTAGATGTAGACTCCTATGTTGATAGAAATTTTCATAATCTATGACTATATGTATTTATATGCCCTACAGTCAAAGTTAAATATGAAATCTTTTTTTTCAGTTTTGTTACTAAGATGCTTTAGAAAATCTTTGTCCTCTGTTGAAATTATATGATAAAGTCAATATACTTTTCCTAGCAGTAGAACTTAATAATTTTCCATTTAGAAAAAGAATGAAATAAAGTGAATACAGCATATTTTACATATTTATATTATGATAAATATACAAATAATTATTTTTAATTTATCATTTTATTTAATTAGTTTAACATTGAGATTTGACTATTTAAGATCACTATAGTATGTATTTATTTATACTAAGGAGTCATAAAGCAATTGAAATTGTACAGTAGAGCCTCTTAAAGGTTTTATTTTTTCATAGTATTTTTATTTTTCCTCAAAATTTGAATGTAGAGTTTGAAGCACCTAATTCTTTAGTTTCTGTTTTTCTATGATCAATGAAAATAAATCAAGATTATTTGTATTATATTTGGATAAGTAACATATCTGTTGAGTTACTACCACAAACCACACTACTTCAAAAGTATTCAGAGTATTGAGACCAAGTATTTGTAGAATTAGTGCAATCTTAGAATACTTTGTACCTAGAACACAGAGCAAGCATTCTTTTGTGTCTTCACATGAGCCTATTCTATATAAATAAAGCCTACAAGAAAGGTTCCTAACACTGTCCTGAGGAAGCATGGAGGAACCAGTTACAATAAAAGAAACAAAACAAAAACAAAAACACTACAACTTATACTGGAACATATGAACTAGACTCTTGAGTTCATTTTCCACCTTCGGATATATTAACTAATAAAAGACATGTTGAATTTATATAAGATTTTCTAGCTGTCCAAAATATTTTTATAACTCTCAGTTTTTGTCAAAAAGAGATGCTAATTTGAGGTGGTACCTTATTAATTAAATAGATAATAAAGAAAACCTCATTGAAAGAAATGGCCTTTTATTGCATTTGAAAATACAAAGTCATGTAGTTTGCCATTTTTCATTGTCTTTATGCTTAAGAAAATTAGTGACAATATTTATTATTAGTTATTTGATGAGCAGATTTGAAATTATACTGCTGTAGCTTCTTACTCAAAGATGGGAAAATAATCTATCAAATATCTAAAAAAGCAAAGCAAAGCAAAACTATATCAGAAAACTCATAGGTATTTTATTAATGAATGTGTGATATTTAATAGTCTATGTAAAGAGTGCAAAGCTATACATAATTTGCCAGAATGTTTGCTTATCATTAGTAATAATGTCTAAAGTATGTCCTGTTATTTAAAATAAATGCTTAAAATTAAGATTAGCAGAAAAATGACTAGAGTGAGCCCCAAATTCAAATGTTGTATAAAATTTGTTTTTCTAGTATGAATGCAACTATGAAATACAAGTTCAGAATAAATGCATTGGTAGGACTTAATTGCCCTTCTAAATATAGCAGAAGTATAATATTGGTTTTGAATTTTAAAAAATTAGAACATTTTCATTTCACTTACAAGTTAAAATTATATAATGCAAAGATATACAGTGAATCGCTGACATTGTTACTGAAGATACAGTATTTTTAATATTTATATTTTTATTGCATTCTTTAATATTCTATTAATATGGAAAGGAGAAAGAAATCTATTTAATGATGGTGTTCTTTACTGACAAGGCACATGCCTAGCATTTCCTAACCCTAATGTATAAAACAAAGCAGTATACAAACAAAAAAATAAACAAAACTCTTTGGTTTATATCTTAGTTTTTGTTAATGTTGCTGTGGCAATATGCAGTGGCCAAAACATTAAAAGAGAAAGGATTTTTTTTAACTCATATTAGAAGCCACAGATATCATTGCTAGGAAGTTGAATCAGCAGCCAGTTACAATATGTCTGCAATAGCAGATAGCAATGAAATCTATGTGTAGTTTAGTCTCTCTGTTTTATCCAGTCTAAGAGATCAGGCCAGAAAAATTGTTGCATCTGCACTTAGGATGGGTCTTCCGACTTTTAATAATGTAAAAATGCAATTCTCCTCAGGCATACACATATATTTATAGCTTTATGCTCATATACTAAATATATTTTATATACATATATAAATATTGTATTATATTTTGTTTATATTGTGTTAAGAATTCTATCATGTGATAATTTCAAGAAAATATTTGACTGGAAATAATCTTGTATTAAGCTAAGCACTATTATATAATATATACGTATACATATATATATATATATGTATACGTATATATACTTTTAGCAATCTAATAAATATTTATAATATTCTTAAATCTATACTTTTAAAAATTCTATATAATTGTAATATATATTCATTAAAATGACATATATTAAAACTTATAAAAGGTCAACTATAAAAAGGAGACATTAGGCAGATTATTAGCAGTCCTTCTAATACCTAGTAAATGCAGGCTCTATAATCACTTAAGAATATTTAAACTCGATACAAGTTGGTAAAATTTATTCTTTTAAAGCTCAATTTTAAAGTATATAACTTTGTTTAGTCATTAAAATATTCTCCCCATCCTCTATTACAAAGAAACATACCTACAAGTAGTTTACAAATTTTCTAGAAACATTTAATGGTTACCAAGAAAAAGATGTTTCAGATAACTTTGTATTGTTTAACTATGTCATATGGTCTTTATAAACATCTGAAATATTATTTGTAGCATAATGACACAATCAGCATCCTTCTCTGAATTAGTAAAGAAGTTGTTTAGGCATAGATGTAAGGCTGGAATATTGCTTTCTAGACAACAAATGTCCCTGTTCCACATATCCTAATAGTTACTCTTGACAGACAGAAATAACCTTGTCTGTGACAGGGTTCACTGTTCACTTAGTTATACTATTTCTTAATCTTATCCATGTCTTTCTGTGTCCTTTGCTTTAATTTAGATACATTACTAGTGAGATATAGTCACTCTGTGTCCTTTGCTTTAATTTAGATACATTACTAGTGAGATATAGTCACTCTGTGTCCTTTGCTTTAATTTAGATACATTACTAGTGAGATATAGTCACAAGAAAAGGCTGATCATGGCACCCACCCAAGATGTGTTTCACCTTGCTTCAAATATTTCCCACATTAAACAAATATAGACTACTAACAATAAGTTACTTATACAATGGGTTAATTTAAGTTCTTATTAAATTAAATCCCATAGATAGCCAAGAATTTCTTTCAACCATAGATATCTCAAGGACAACCAGACCTGAAATTCTGTATCCAAATTTTGTTTGGGAATTTGTATGGTTTGTAATATAGAGATGCATAATGGATATCAACACCAAAATGAAAGGAATAGTTATGTACACATTTTTGTCCAACAGGATTGATGTCACACAACAATTACTCACTAAGCACTGGTCATGAAATGAACTGTAAGCAACTTGAAAAGAAGTACAATTTTTACACCAATTTTTCTAAGAATCTTGATACACTACTCTACTTTAGGCTCCATATCTGAACAAAACAATATTATCCCACAGGAAAAATATAAATAAAGCCAAATAATATTAACTGATTTGCTTTTTTCAACAGAATAGAAAACTAAAGTATATTTGATGTGTTTAATATATAAAATTACATTTACTAAGTTAAAAACAATATAGATTTTATATCATTTTTTATGATTTTTAGGATATTAAATAATAACTGTTAGATTTTTGAGTAAAGCAGTAAGAATTTACTCTTAACATATACTTAAAGGTTTATAATTGGAGTTACCTCTAGGAGTCTCTTGCACTATGTTGTAGTTTTAACATAGCTTTTTGTCAGAAAACTATCAAGCCTTTATCTCATCTGGAGTCCTTATAATTTAAAAGCAAAACTGTCTTTCTCTTAGAACTTATTGGTTTTGAACAGTATCTTTGATGGTTTACTGACTTTGGATTCTCACATCCAAAATGCTTACATTAGCATCATCAACTTTGGTTCCTTAGCAGTATGCTATAGCTTTTATATTTCCATTGCAATGACTGGTGACATCTTATGCACACTGGCATCAATGGATTATTGCTTACTTACGAATGGATAACTGCTTTGGTAGATGTTCAATGGTAATGTAATTGACAGTCAGAAAGACTGCTGCCATATTAAAGTGAAATGTCAATTTTGTTGTGTGCCTATACCACCAAGTTTCCAACCTCTAACTCAGGACACTATTTAAATTTTACCTTTCTTTAGCATTGCATTAGGTAAAGTTTTGCTATATTTTTAAAAATGTGATTTTTTTCAGAGAGGTAAATTTTATGGAAACATATTTGCTATTTTCCTTTCCACTTAGCAATCTTCCTAGAATGTTTTCAAAATTTGGTTTTTAGTAATTGCTGTTCTAATACGCCTCTTACACACATGAGAAGGATCATTAAAACTGATTATGTTTTAAGATTTGTCTAATGGTCAGCAGAGATTTAATCTAAAGTCACTTTCAAACTACAGGTTGAAATGGCATCATGAGTCTAATACTACAGAGAATTTATTTCCATACTTCAGTAGTTTCTTGCTAATCCCAGTATAAAACAACACATCCTTTCCACTTCA